TTCGGATGTAGGAATGCAGGCCTCCAACCCCTCAGGGTGCCGGAATGATAGTGCTCTCCATGGAGGATGGGATACTCACTCATCTGCCTTAGGTTATCAGACCCAACAGTGGGCAATGGTGACAATAATATTAGTGGTGGTGGTGAGGTCATTGGTTATGTTACCATGGGAGGGCTAGTACTAGAGCATTGCGTTATGCATTATTTCACTATGTATCGGTGGATTCTTATTCCCTGAGTGCAATCCCGCCTCTTGCCTCTTCTCAGCCTTTTTTTTTTTCCTATAATGCTGGCACCATTTGACATCGGATATATTTTGCTCTTATGTTTATTGCCATGTCCCTTATCGGGTAGAGCTCCTTGATGGTAGGACTTTTCTCTGGTGTTGTTTTGCTTCTGCTGCCCCACCAGCTGGATCACTGCATTATACATAGTAGGTGTTTCACGAACCTGACCCTGGTAGGCATTCATGAGTTATTTGTTGAATGCATGAGTTTCCCTTTCACAGAGTAAAAAGCAGAGGCCAGGATCACAAGGTTAATAAGAGGCAGCCCAACGCCAGAGCCAGTACTGGCTGCAGTGAACTGCATCACAGAGCATTATTTGGCCAATAGCAGTGACCGTGGGGCTCCTTCCTAAACCAGCTGCAGAGGTAGTGGGTTCTTTCTTAGAGTTCAGAGCTATGAAGTTGAGGTGTTGGGTGAAGATAGAATGGCTTGAGATACCTACAAGATTTGAAAACTCTTACCCTGGCTTTTCCTACCTCCCTGTTACTCAAAAATGCTTTTAGTTGCAAAACAGCCCTCATAAACAGCCTAAGACCAGAGGAAGAATTTATTTCCTTTGCTGCACCTCACCACGTCTGAGAGGTGATAGACCTGGTCCCAAATATCCTTGTTAGCCCCAGAGAAAGCTTCCTGTTCTCTTAGGAGGTAGGTCAAGTTAAAGAGAGAGGTCTCCAACTTTTTCCATATATTTTATTGTTTTCTCTAATTACAAATAAAAATTGTTTATAAAAAATTATAAAGCTGTAGAAATACATACTGTACAAATTGAAATTGTTCTATAATTTCCATTCTCCCAGTGACTTTTCCTTTGGTATTTGTCTCTAGACTTATAGTGACAGTTATATAAATAGAAACAAGGGGAAAAGTCATTTTTTGCCATTTTTTTTCACTTAACTGTATACTTTATTCTTCTTTCTCTGTTGATGCATATAGCTCTAAGTCATCTAACATTGGGAAATATTCCTCTAATTCTTTTAACCCATGCCCTATTTCTGGACATTTGGATTTTTACTAATTTGCATGGTGGTAAGTAACTTTTTATAAATTTTCCCATAGCATAAATTCCTAGAAATAGAATTGCTAAATCAAGGGATATGCACATTATAAATGTTTGTGGATATGACCAAGCTGTCCTCCTAAATGTATCAATTGCACTTCCACCAAAAGAAGAAGAACTCTGAGTTGGCAGTTGGCAGGTAAGTCCTGCTTCAAGATAGGGGCTACACAGTGTGCCCAGAGTGATATTCAAGTATCCCAGTATTTTCGAGTTTTAAGCACTCACAGCAGAAAACAGCTCTGATGGCTCAAGCTGGAGCCAGCTCAAGTCAAGTCCTTCCCTTTCTGCCAGGTCTCTAGAGTCCTGTGGGGTTTCTCTGGAGCTAGCCATCTGAACTGTTTCCATGGGAGCTGAGTTCATTCTTGCCTCTGTTGGTGGGTTGGCATAGGGACCACGTTTAGTGACAAGAGCCTTGGAATTAAGCCATCAGTCTTCACCTGCCAAGATCTGGCTGGATAGGTGGCACAGATTATCCTGGAAACCCTGAGTCTGACAGAGGCCCAGGGCTTGGCGGGTCACACCTTGCTAGTGATATAACAGGGAGCTTTTCAGAGTCTGAATTCCAAGTCACCCACAGGAAATGGAGCTTGTGCTAGGGACCTGATTATTTATTCATATCTTTGAGACTTTGAAGAAGAGTTTGGGATTTTTAAATGCATCAAAATCAACTGAGGGTCTTGTAGACGATGCAGATTCTTGAGCTTCTCTCCCAAAACTTTGGATTCAGTAGATCTGGGTTAGGGCCCTGGAGCCTGCATATGAACAATCACCTCCCTCGTGGCTCTGATGAACCAGAAGTGACAAGACCAAACCCCAAGGAAAGCCTTGGTCAATGGGTAAGAATCTCTGGGGGCCAGGCACATACCTAGGTACCAGCTACCATACTCACTCATTAGTTTATATTAATGAAAGATGATAAACCTTGGATTTAGGTTACTTTTCTTTGTCTTTCTGTCAACAAAAAAGTCCCCATCTTGCTACCTCCTAAATGTTTTCACTTCTGCCCTCTCTGGCAACTTCCTATTAACTCTATTTCCATCCCCCCTCTCCCTACCCTCCACTCCTCACTGCCCTCTGTCAGCTCTGACCCTATCGGTTACCTTTCCCTTGAAGGTCATGCCCTGAAAAGATACCATGACAATGATCCATGTTGATCTGATGGCAAGTGGTGGTGTCTGGCTTAGGGACATGAAATTGAAATCCCAGGTTACAAGATGCCCAGAGCTTTTCTGGGGAAGATTTGGAAGAGGAAACCAAGCTTGGAGGAGGAACGACTGATGTGGGATCTCACTGGCATTTTGTGGCAGAATGACCTGCTTTCTATACCAGTGCTTTTCCTGCTATCCTAGTAAGCACAGTGTAATGTAAACAGCACATGGAATTTCACAAATGCAAGTCTAAGATTTGTCTAAGGAGAAAGGGGAGTAGCCTATCTGGTAGGGTGGCTACCAGGGAGAGGCTATCTAGGCACATAGGTTAAAGGATACACTATAATCCCAGCACTTGGGAGGCTGAGGCAGGAAGAGCCAGAGTTCAAGGCCAGCCAAGCTACATAGGGAGTTCCAAGCCAGCCTGAACTATGTAATGAAACCCTGTCTCAAAAATGATAAAATGGTGCAAAGAAAAATACCCTCAGGAATCAAGTTAAGATCTATTTTAAAGAAATATTATAAGAATCAAAATTCATACCAAAAGATCCATGATTTAACAAAATGATATGATTTGTAAATAAAGATGGAACTCCTTTTACAAATGATTTTTCTTTTGGCCTTAGGCTCCAAGTTGACTCTGGTGTGGTCACTGGAACAGAAAATATAAGCAGATACATTTGGATTAGCAGGAATCAGTGTCAATAAACCAGTATTTCCCTAAATGTGCTTAGGGTGAGGCTGGGAGGGGACGGAGTACAATTTAAGGTATGAAAAACTGCATTTTCTATTTTCTTTCTGAAAATCACTTCTTTACTTCAGCCTTTCCCCCACAACTCCAGTGCTAGAAATTAAATCCATTCATGCACTCTATCTGTGAACTTAAGCCAATTTTTGAGAGTTCTATAGAAATTCCCAAACTTGCTTACACAACCCTTTTTTGCATAATCCAGAGAGGATGCTTTGGAAAAGCTTCCTTAACACAAGCTGCAGCAATGTGAAGCTTTGCAAGGAAGCAGAAGAGACATTTGAGGGCCCTGGGGGACTCTACAGGTGCATGGCTCCTAACCAGGTGAGCAGCTGCTCATTCCATCTGTGCAGAGGGTGAACCTCGCCAAGTTCCAAGTTGCCTCAGGAAGCAGGGCGAAGGGCACAGGCTTCTGTGACAGGAATTGGAGACTAAGAGCAGGGAAGGAAGCTTCCAAAGCCCAATTCAACATCTTTATGCTGTCTAGGAACCCAGGCCTGGCTTGATTGTAACTTGGCAGAGGTGGGTGATGGGTTGGTGGCAGCTTCACTTCTGCCAATGAGAAAAAAGAAACAGAATAGAACAAGGTCATGCCTTTACTCCCTATTTCTGAGGTTCCCAACCAGAAATCAGGGGGTGGGTGGTGGGATGGGTTACATGTTCAGGTACAGCCCCTGGCTTGGTCTCTATGATGCACACCTTCTTAGGTGTGTTATGAGAAGCTAGTGGTAGCAGACTTTCCTTCTAAACTTAGAAAAGCACCCAGCCAGTCGTGGTGGCGCATGCCAGTAATCCACCAGACGAAGAGGATGAGGCAGGAAGATTATGAGTTCGAGGCCAGTCTGGGCAAAAAAAGAAAAGAAAAGCACCCTAGATTCTTAAAGTCACAAATGTGATCAGTGCAGCAATTCTAAGAGCTTGTTGGAAACTGAGAGACTTGGGTCCACCAAAGATTTAGTGGATCCAAGTCTTGGTTTTAAGAAAATCTCTGCTGAAGCTTTAGAAGAGCCTGATTTGGAATGTCCAGAGACCTGGTTCAGTCCCTGTCTCCATCACTGACTCCCATCCTCATCCTCACCTGTGACCTTGGGCATTTTGAGTTTCTTATCTGTCAAGTGAAGGTACTGCCTTTGCCTTCTCCAAATTTCAGGAAGCACATGTATTTTATGCTCTTCAAAAGTATGAAAATCTTTTTATAAATGCAAATGAACAATAAAAGCAGTAATGATTATCTAAAAGCTTAATTCTTACCTAAGAACTGTATTCCATAGCTTGTAAAAGGTTCACTTTTTTAAAGCCCAGAGCCACATCTGTCCTTCTGTACATCTATCACTTTTGTATGCGTTCATTAACTACCTCATCCATCCTTTTATCTAGCCATCCCCACTTTTATCTGACTGACTTCCCTGCCATCTGCCAGTTGTCTATTTAAAAACCATTTCATCTATCTGTATGACATTGAATCCATTCATCCATCTGTCATTCAATCCAGTAATTGGCCCCGTCACACACAAGGTCATGAACTGGTATGACAGTGATACTTCGTCAACCCTGAACTACAGTCGGATCTTGGGAAGCAAGGATCACAAGCTTATACTCTGCTTCTTTAATCTATAAATCTTTTTCATCCAAACTTCTACCCTCCCTTATCAAGCTGGCTGACACTGGTGAGATATATATACATATGTCTCAAGAGGAAGGGAGATAAAGAGGTGGGTGGTCAGGTATAATCAGTGTGTAAATTTGGCTAGGGGTAAAACCATGGGTGGTGAAGGTCCCTATGCATCCCAGCCTAAAAAGGATAAGAGGGGCTGGGGATGTAAGTTAGTGGTAGAGTGTTTGCTTAGCCTGCAGGAAGCACTAGGTTCAATACCCAGCACTGCAAAAACTAAAAAAAGGAAAAGAAAAGCAGGAAATTTAATCCTTGTGACCAAACAAATCTAGTAATTGGCCACCAGTTTGAGCTAGGTACCCTAGACATGCTGTTGAAGTGTGTATTTATTGGGGTGGGGGTTGTGAGTTCTCCATATTTGCTTTTTAAATTATCATGAGTACATTTTTGCCTCTCCTGGGGGTAATTTTAATAAATATCACATGGATCTATCACAGAATTGTGTATAAGTCATACATTGCAGCTCTTAATTATGCATTCATGAGACCATGTCCCAGATCAAGCAAAAGACCATGGTCAGCACCCCAGAAACTACTGTACTCCTCCTCATTTCCCCTCTCACCTTTCCAAAGTAAGCCCCATACAGCATAGATCAGTTTGGGGTAGTTTTCAGTTTTATATAAGCATGATCATACTGTATGTGTTCTTTGATGTTGGGCCTCTTTCACTTTATTACATTTGTGAGATTCACCTATGCTCTGCATAGCAATATTTCATATTTATAGGACAGAAAACTGTACATTAATGAAAAGGGTTTTTAGATTGCTGCTGCTAGTGACAGGCCGAGTGTGTCAGATCTGAACTTCTCTCTCTCTGCCTCCTGCCCCTCCAGTCTCTGGGTGCTGGAACTCTGGCCACATTCTCTACTCTGTCTACCTGCAGTACCAAGGTCAGGATGTAAGAGAAGAGTTCTGAGGAACCTCCATGAAACTTCGGGCAGTTATCCTGACTCTCTGTTACCTATTTGAAAAAATGCATATATGGGATTATGTGTAAAATTCCTTAAAAATAACATGTGAGGAGTGGGAGAATAGATCACTGATCACTGCATGTCTTACTGCACTGGCACTGTTCTGAGTTCTGTGTGTATTGACCCAATAATACTCTTACCCATAGATTGTGCACTTATCCCCATCCTACAAAGGAGGAAACTGAGGCACAGAGCAGTCCAGGATATTGACCAAGGAGGCCCAGCTATAAGGCACAGAGATGGAAGGTGAAGTCCAAAGCCAGGGCTCTTCACTACTCCCCTTGTTGCCTCTCAGATATCTGTCTTCTATTTTTTTGAGACAGGGTCTTGGTACGTAACCCACAGTGGCCTTGAACTCCCAGTCATCCTGTTTCTCCCTCCCAAGTGCTGAGATTACAGGTGTGCACAAAAACACCCTGCCCCTGAGAGATCTTATTAACTCTGCCTGAAGGCACATGAAGAACACTCTCCAAACTCAAAGGGGCCCAACCTCCCAAACCTCATCCTTGTCATTGTCCTTCTTGCTCAGAATCCTCCAGTCACATGGCCCTTCTGGCACTTCTTAGAACACCTAGAACTTTCTAGCACAAAATGTTCTTGCTCTGTCTGGAACACATTTCCCTGCCTTTGGCTTGGATGGCTCCTTCTCATTCTTTAGTTCTTCCCCATGAGTTCTTGGCTGTTATCCCATCTAGGTGGGTCCAGCCTATTATTCTGGACACTAGCATGCCCTCTCTTCCCTTCTTGGTCGTTGTGCACTGCCCTGGTTGTATTGCTCTGCTGATCTACCTGGTTCTCTGTTTTTCCCCATACAGATTGCATTATTACCTGCAATGTCTTCATTCACAGTTGTACTCACAGTGCCTAGCAGTAGCATGGCTTTGTCACCAATCTTCGAAGAAACGAAATGGGTCTCCTGACCCTCGGCCTCCCACTCTCTACCACTAGGGGTTCGTTTGGCTTCTGTCTCTTGTAGTCACGTGTTGCCTGATCAACTGCTCCAGTGTGATCTGCTCACTGACTTGGACTAATGGTTCCTAGGAATCAGCATGGGCTCAGTATAAGCCTAGAACAAACTCTGTTAGACAGATTTCAACTGTTTTGAATTTTTTGCACATCCTTTCAGTTAGCAATAGGTTTTGTGACAATTCAAGCAGAATCACTTAAGGAGTTGAGTAGGCCTAGTTAAAATTGGCTTCATGGAAGCCAGGCATAGTGGTGCTTATCTGTAATTCCAGCTACTGGGGATACCAAAGGTAGGAGGATCAAGAGTTCCAGGCCAGTCAGGCAAAGCAAGACCGTATCTCAGAAACAAAATAAAAGCAAAGGGGCTGGGGGTATGGCTTTAAAAGTAGAGTGCTTGCCTAGCAAGCTCAAAATCCTTGGTTTAGTCCCCACTACTGGGTGGGGGAGGGGGGCAGAGAGGAAAGAGAGGAAGAGTCTCCATGTAGTTAATTCTATTTTTTTGGCAGTATTGGGGTTTAAACTCAGGCCTCATGTTTGCTAGGCAGGTATTCTACCACTTGAGACATGCTCCCAGCCCTTTTTACCCTAGTTTTTTTTTTTTTCTTATAGGGTCTTATGCTTTTGCCCAGGCCTATCTCTGACCACTATCCTCCTGCCTCTGCCTCCCAAGTAACTGGGATTACAGGTGGCTTCCATGTACTTAAAATTGATTCCACATGTTTCTAAAAGATGTCCCTTCCTGGCTTCCTTCTTCACTTTTACAAGTCCATCTTTATAGGGGCAAGTGGTTCATCAGAAAGTTAAAGGAAAAATGACCAAGTCAGGGGATGAGAGATAGGATACCTACAGACTAAGCCCGACTTTTCACCAGGCTCGTCCACATAACGGTACTGAGAAGCCACTGCAGTCCTGTTGGAACACCAGCTAGCTCAAAGCAAGTCCATGGAATGAATGCTGCTGCCAAAGCCTTAACGGTTGAGAAACCCAAAATCAGTCAGGACTCCCTTTATCATCAGCTGGTTATAAAGGAGCCCTTTAGTTTGAGCCAGTCTCCCGGAGTAGCATGGCCAGGGTTGAGGCAACAGGCCTTCAGAGTGGGGGAGGCAGGGTAAGGCTGGAAGAGGGCTGGGGTGTGATGTCAGACATGCACGTGCCCTGCCCCTACCTCCTAGGGCTACCCCAGCAGCAGCTGATAGAGGAAACTGCTCCATGGACCACAGGCCCTTTTCTTGATACCCAAGAGCAGATAGCAGCCATGTAACTCACCCAACTAAGAGTCTGCTGGTCACTGGGGACCCACTAGAAGGCTGGTGACCACAGTAAGGAATTAAGAAAGATTCATCAAGAGCCAAGGATTTCTACAGTGTTAAAATGGCTGGGAAGATAAGATATTGGAGCCTTACCCAGGGAGCTCTTGAAACCCACCTCAGAGACAGATTAGTTTGTCAGGAATTGTTTAGAGGGAAGGGAATTTGGCAGTCCCCTAATTTTGGAGATATCCCACATCCAACTAGTTGAGTTCCCCCTACCCTATAGTCAGGCAGTGACTCCAAGACTGGGTCCCTTAAAGCTGTGGTTTTCAGTTCATGATTTTGCCTCCTGGCACATTGGCAGTATCTGGAGACCATGTCAAAGAACTATCTGACCTAGGAGGTAGAAAGTACCCAGGCTGAGAAACTTTCAATTAGAATCTCCAAGGGCATGAAAGTTTGTTTTGCTGGGTCAGAAGCACCTCTAGTTGCAAAGAAAAATTGTCATTGAACAGTGTTTTTCTAATTCTTGTTCCTCTCTTTCCATCCCCACCCCCAGCCTTCCCTGTCGCACTCAGTTTGAACCATTCCATGCCCTGTCACACAAGAAACATGTGGTGATATTTAAACTCCACTGCCCAGATGACAGTTTCTCTCCAGCTGCTGCCAATTTGAAGTTCAGGATGTTGATGAAATCAATTGACTCAGTTGGAAAAGGAATCCCAAGGGGTCACAATAGCGAGTGCGCCACACACACACACACACACACACACACACACACACACACACACACTTGTGCCTGAAGACCTTTCTTGCACACACACACACACACACACACACACACTTGTGCCTGAAGACCTTTCTTGCATGGCCTGACACAGACAGTAAAGAGCCCATGACTTTCACTTGCTGCATCATGCTAAACCAGATGCTGGCCATTCTTTCTATAAAGGGCCAGAAAGGATTGCAGTTGTGTTCCAACAAAACTTTATTTACAAAAACAGACAGTGAGCTGGATTTGGCCCCAGGGGAAATGATTTGCAAACCTCTGTTCTAAACAGTTCCAGCATCTGTCTTCATGTGTCTGCTCTCAAGTCGTAGTTTGTAGACCTCTATTTAAAGTATTTCCTATTTCTTCCTGTCTGTGCCTCAGCAGAGGAAAAAATCACGCAGGGAAAACCTTGCTGAAAGTAAGCTAAATCATCAGGATGAGCTGTAAATGTCTAGAGGGCAAGGGGGAGGCAGATACGATTTCTTTTACTGCACAAAAATGTGAAATGTGAGTGCATCTTAGGTTGTCAGAAACATAGCTCTCTGTCTTCCCATACCATTCTTTTTTTTTCCCCCCAGGAATGGAGCAAGACAGGCTAATAAATAAGGAACAGAACGCTGTGTCCACAGGGTTGTCTTTAAATTTAAGTCTGTTTTCTTCTTTCTGGTCTGCGTGCATACCTTCTTCTCTTAGAATCAGTTAGGGGTGAGGGACAGCAAAAATTGCGTTTTGCTTCCATCAGACCCTGGGCTTGCTTGGAAGGGCATTGATTTTTCTTACCATCGATGGTTTTTGTGAGATTGTCTGTGTATAGAGAGAGAGAAATAGAAATGCTAGTTCGCTGGTCACTTAAAGCATCCCAGCTGTACCATGGGATTGACAGTTGAACCCCAGAGAACCGCAGGCTAAAGTGGATACTGACCTCCCCTTGCTGGAGCATGGCCGGAGGGTCCTGACCCACACACATGCCTCTGCAGTGCATGGATATTTGTGTAGCTCCCAGCCACACTGATCCCTGGGCTAGGAATAAACCAAGTACTTCTCACAAAGCCTGCCTTATGGGAAGAAGGGAAACCATCTCTGTGCATTAAGAAAGCAGAGTTCCATGGAGAGGAAAAGGCCTGGCATCTATGTCTCCTTGCTGCTGAGTGGATCCTCCTGCCAGGTCCTCCAGTGTCAAGCCACCCATCATGCCAGCTATAAATGTGAGGTGAGACTTCACTGCATCCAGAGCTCTCTGGATAATGTAATTTGCAGTCCCACCTCCCTCCCACACATGTGCTTGTGCACAGGTGTCCATGTACACAGAGACACACCCAGCCCCCACACACACTAGGACTCAGGTAGCAAGAAAAGTGTATTTATTGAAGATTAGTAGAGGGACAGTTGGAGCCCCAATTGGTTGGATTATGTTGACTTGCAATATTTTGACATTGAGTCTCTTTCACACAGTTAACTGGAAAAAAAATAGTGGATCATCATCACTGTAGGGAAGAAATCCCCAGCAACAATTTGGAGACACAAATTACTTGGAGCAGTGGCTTGTATTCAAGTGAATATTTTGATGGGTCAGACACTAAGCAGATCATGTTTATTGGATTCATTTATTAATATAGCCATGCATTCAACCAGTATTTATTTACCTCTGAGTTTGGCTGAGATTGAATTTTTTGGACATGCTTTCTTTCATTGGAGACTTTCAAGCTTTATTTTCTTCCCACATGCCAGGTAATGAGGATGGGGAAGCATATAGGAACCCATTACTGCCTCTTTGATCTTATAGTCTAGTCAAGAAGACAAAGATGAAACAAAAATGTCACAAATTACCACTGTAATCATTTTGAATCTTATAAAGGAGAGCACACTCTTTTTCTTCCCCTAACCACTGTAATGCTCAGATGCTGATATTATGCTCATTTTACTGATGCAGGTCAATGGTTTAAAAATTGCCCCAAGTCACCCAGCCAGGAGGTGGCTGTCCAGTGCTGTGCACAGTTACAGAGGGAGGGAGAATTTCTCAAGTTGGGATGTGAGTTGTGATAGTACCAATTCCATCCTAGGGACCTTGGAATTCTAATCTAAGTGGATCTCCAGGGTTATAATTAATCAGCTGAAAACATTTTTACAGTTCAGAGAGCTCATTATAAGTCATGCCTTCTTCAGCTTTAAAATTGAAGAAGCCCCAGCAGTGGACTCTATAATGATCTGCCCAGGACTGTCAGGTTGGTGAACATAAACACAGTGTTTTATACCTGATGTTTGGAGTCCTACCCATCTGAATTGCAACCCTGGGCCACCTGGCCCACAGGGTGATGGTTATATACAACTCTGGCAGATGAGAATTCATTCACGTTTATTCTGCAAACACATTTTGAGCACCAAAAGGATTGTGGGTGCTGCGAGCTCTGTGAGTACAGAGTTGGGGGTAAGATCCCCTGCTGCCATGTGGATTCGTTCAGCTACAAAATTTATAGAGAAATTAAGACAGGGTGGATAGCTTACAAAAGTCAACTTCAAGAGTGCCTTGCTAAGCAAGAGATGGCTACCTTTGCCACTTTAAAGGAGTGATCCATGACCACCAAGGAAGTGACATCTCCATGCTAGTTTTCATGACCAGAAGAAGTTAGCTATACAGAGGAGAGAGTTTTTTTCAGGGAGGGAGGGATGAAATTGTTGCGGTGTTGGAGGAGGACTGATAGACTAAGTAAGCATGTTGAGCCAATTGTGTTGGAGAGAGACAGAAGGGAGCCAAGTCACGTAGGGCCTTGACATTTTAATAAAGACTATGAATTTTGCTAATAAAAAAAATAACCATAGAACCACCCTTTTTAGAGGCAAGTACACACTTATTGCTCATCTTTGGACAACATTAGCCTTCTTATTCAGGTCCCTGCATGCAAAGAAGACCCTGCAGGAAAATATGAGTGAACGAATCACAAGAGACTGTTCTCTCCTGAGTTGAGCGAGCAGATAGAGCTTGAAAAATCTCACACATGCCCCAAGAGAGTAGCTTTCCTTTAGGTAAAACTGATAATATACCTGAGCTTTAGCCAGGAACCCACCCACTTTTTCCAGGGTACTTCTTGGTTGGGGAGGGGGATAGGGGATCCCGAGGGGGTCGTGGTCATCCCAGGATGCAGAAGCACAACCCAAGAGCCAACATGGAAGCTGCTCTTCTTCACACTTACCTCTGCATGAAAACAGGAACCTATTTACTTGCAGGATGTTCTCAAAAATGCCTTATAATGGGAAGGTTCGGGAAAATTGCATGTAGGATAATTTATAGTATTTGCTGGATTGCCTGATTTCACTTGAATTTTGTACAAAACCCTGCCTAGACAGCTTTTGTTTTCAGATGTGATCTGGAAAACACTTTTCCACTTTCTTAGTAGAGTTCATCTGCTCAGTCTACTTGTTCATCATTTAGCATGACATCCTCTGCTCTCTGCTCTGCCTTGAAATTGGGAAGGCTCTGGAAGTGATTAGATGGTGGTAAAGCAGCTTTTATGATTTGTACGTCAGAGATAAGCAGCAGGGACATCAACTCCTCTTGCCCAATAATGAAATAATAATAATAAAAAAAGTAGACAGTACAACATTTAGCAGAATGCACTGGGCTGGACTTATCTAGCCCAGCTGCTCGAAATGTAGTTAGGCCTGTGATGGTTGCATCTGTATGGAACATGTACAGCCCTTTGCTGCTGGTCATGACTCCCTGCACAATACAGTATGGCACCTGCTTACACAGCATCACAGTGCACTGGGCAAAATGTAGGGATGATTTAAAGTATGGGGGAAGATGTGTGTGTGCTATATGCAAATCCTATGTCCTTTCATCATAAGGGGTTTGAACACCCATGGATTTTGGTATCTCCAGGGGTCCTGGAACCAATCCCCTGTGAATACAGAAGGACCTCTGTAGTTTCTCTGTTTGCATTTCCAGTGTCAAAAATGTTACTCTTTCACAATCATTGATTTATTTTTATACTGTTTTATTAAGGTATGACTTATATAGAATGAAGTAATAGATGATAAAAACTACACCTCAGCAAGTTTTTACACCTGTATGTCCTTCTATAACCTTCTTCTAGGTCTAGCAATAACACAATTTCAGTGCCCTGGGAGATGCCTCCTCCCCCTGACATCTGTCACAGACACCCTTAGTGTGTTCTCAGACCTCATATAAATGGAGTCATATGGCAATCAAGGAATTGGTGTCATTGTCATTATTCGTTCTCATCATTAAGTTTCCACTGTGACAGGGCTCCATGTCTGTGACCCTTATGACATTCAGGACTAGGTAACTCTTGAGGGTGGTGGGGATTGTCCAGTGCATTGTAGGATGCTGAACAGCATCTCTGGCCTCTGCTTAAGATATGCTGGTAGCACCCATCCTAGTCATGATGACCAAAAATGTCTCCAGATATTTCCAAATTTTATGTAGAGTTGAAAACCATTGTATTATATGGATATACTTTTCTTTTTTCTTTTTTTTTTTTTTTTTTTTTTTGCAGTACTGAGATTTTTGAACTTAGGTCTCAAACTTGCTAGGCAAACTTGCTAGGCTCTACCATTTGAGCCACACTACCCCATCCTCCAGTCCTTTTTTTGCTTTAGTTGTTTTTCAGATAGGGTCTCATGCTTTTGCCCAGGCTGACCTAGGACCACAGTCCTTTCATGTAGCTAGGATTACAGAAAAACACCACCATACCCAACTTGTCCTTTGAAATAGATTCTCCCCCAGGCTGGCCCCAAACCAAGATCCTCCCAAGTAGCTGGGATTTACAGCTTCCACACCTAGCCCTTACAATTTTAAAGAATAATTTCAAATTCACTGAAAAGTTGCCAAAATAGAACAAAGACCACCTACAATGTACTTTTCCCTAGATTCATCTGTTGTTAACAGAGAGAGGCAAGAATATGGCAAGGGTGATAATGGATCATTGCGATCTAAACGTGTGTTGTCAGTGACCAGAAATGGCAAAATTATGGATCCTTTCCATTGTAATGAGTGGAAAATGCCAAGGCTTTGCCACCTGGTCCATCTCCAGCGTCTCCTTAGAGTGCCACTTTAAATTGTGCAGAAGGCAAGTTACTGAAGTCAACATCTCCCACGACCTTCCATTTGGTTTTGTGTCAGGGCTTCCAGGAGCTCATTTGACAGCACTTAGGAAATGAAGATTCACAGCATGGGCACCCACTCTTGAGGGATCAGGATTATTGCTTTATTTTATACAGTGCCTCTCTTGGAGGTTGGAGGGGTATCCTGAGGCTCCATTCACATCTTCTGGCTACTAGAGACCCATTTATAACCCAGAATAGTCATTCACTCTACAGGCCAAGAAAGTAAATATACTTTTATCTCCACCTAGGGAGTCAGTGCCCAAGACACTTAAGATGGAAGGCCACCTGCCACTTAGGGACCCAGGCAGAGTGGGAAATTGCTGCAAGATGACAAAGAAGTAAAATGGTCTAGAACCATAGAAGTAGATTCTAGACTTAGTATAGCCAGGAACAGGTTGGGTGCAACCCAGTCTCTGTAGCTTAAAATTTCTTTATCCAAAATGTCTGTTCTATGGAGCTTATAATGCATCATTAGAATCAAAGAGGTAAATACTTGGTAAAGTGAAATTCTAAACAGAATATCATGCATGAGATTCGCAGTACCTCCGATGAGCCTTTGAAGGAATGGGTAACTAGAAAAATGCATCTCTTGGATGCATTTGAAACCTGTGCCCCCTCTAGGTGTTCACTGCCCTACTGTGGGGTGGGGAGAGCACCCTGTCACACAGACATATCTGAGACACTTTGTGCAGTGCATGACTGCAGGTCACACACCTCCCCCCCAGAGATGACCAGCAGTGACAGAGATAGTGACTACTCCAGTCCCAGCCTACTGCTACCCATTTGAATTAACTTGTGTCCTCTCCTCTTCTCCCCCCAGGCCTCTCTACTGAAGGTGGCGCCAAGCGCCAGGAGCACCTATCTCGATTTTCCATGCCAGATCTGAGCAAAGACTCTGGAATGAACGTCTCGGAGAAGCTGAGCAACATGGGTACCCTTAATTCGTCCATGCAGTTCAGGAGCGCAGAGTCGGTGCGCAGCCTGCTGTCTGCGCAGCAGTACCAGGAGATGGAGGGGAACCTCCACCAGCTCAGCAGCCCCCTGGGGTACAGGGATCTGCAGTCCCATGGGAGGATGCACCAGAGCTTTGACTTTGATGGGGGCATGGCGGGCAACCAGCTGCCGGGGCAGGATGGGGTGCGCATCCAGCCGATGAGCGAGCGCACGCGGAGAAGAACTACGCGCGATGACAACCGTCGCTTCCGCCCTCACCGGTCCCGGCGCTCCCGCCGCTCGCGCTCGGACAACGCGCTGCACCTGGCCAGCGAGCGCGAGGCCATCTCCCGGTTGAAAGAAAGGCCCCCTCTGAGAGCCAGGGAGGACTATGACCAATTCATGCGACAGCGGAGCTTCCAGGAGAGCCTGGGCCAGGGATCCCGGAGGGACCTGTACGGCCAGTGTCCGAGGACTGTATCGGACCTGGCTTTGCAGAATGCCTTTGGGGAGCGATGGGGACCTTACTTCACTGAGTATGATTGGTGCTCCACCTGCTCTTCCTCTTCTGAGTCTGACAATGAGGGCTACTTCCTAGGAGAACCAATCCCCCAGCCGGCACGTCTGCGATATGTCACCAGTGACGAGCTGCTGCACAAATACAGCTCATACGGTGTCCCCAAATCCTCCACGATAGGTGGCAGAGGACAGTTGCACAGTAGGAAAAGACAGAAGAGCAAAAACTGTATCATTTCATAATAGGATGGGGGTCAGAGAACGTGGGAAGATGGGAGCTAAGAATGTAAATTCAGAAACTTGCACTGTTTTAAATTTTCAAGAGCTTTTGGGTGTGGTTCATGAGGGAGAAAGGGAAAGCGTTCTCAGTGGATAGAGGCAAGATTGCAGATTGACTCGTAGGTAGTCACAGTCCTTGGCATGTTGAGTATTATTTGCACATTTCACTTTGGAAACACAGTAGACTCTGGGGAGGCCAGGGTTGGTCACTTCCTTCCCATCAGTTCTGTATGGAGTGGCCACTCGCAAGATGGCTCATTGTTACCTGCTGGCTTATATCCTTTCTGGTTCTCTTAATTTTAGGACCCTTTTTGCAGTAAGTAATTTCTTTATCAGCCAGGACCCCAGACTAAGTTATTTACATGTCCATTGTAAATGCAATGTAAATGAAAGTTCTGATAAAATATTTTTGTATTTTGTAATATCAAAGGAATTTCTATATCGTAGGACTCAGTGGGGACTTGCATGCCTGTCAGCATTGTCTTGGAGTAGTAGTCAAAGGTGGCCCAGGACCACCTTTTTTTTTTTTTTTCTCTATACAAACTTTGTTGTTACATGTCAGTGAAACCTTTTTCAAAGGAGTATATTCAATTTGGCTTTTTGTGACTGGAAAAAAAATTAACTATTCTACCCAAAGCATTTTATGCTCCATCGTTAAGGAGCCATCCTTTAGCCCGCTCCCACCCTCAGTAGAATTTATTCTCTACAAAGTGATAGTATTTTTTTTTTATTGCCAATGTAACTTTTGCCAATTAGAGAAACCAACCAGTGTCAGTACGGTTCCGTGAGAAATGCCATCCCTGCTGAGGACATTGAAGTTGCTTAATGTTGATCTATCCCTTGGGGAAAATCAAAGTGATCGTGAGTGGTGCCGTTATGTGTGTCAGCATGACGTTGTTTTGAATGTGGCATTATTTTCTGGTGCTCCCACTTCCTGGATTGTATTATCTGCTTTCCTTTTCCAAAGGCAGACAGAGCTGCTGCCTTAGCCTGACAACCGGGTGTCCTCACAGCAGATGAGCTTCTGTGTTTGGAATGGAGGGACAGGAAGGTTCTGGGGACTCTGGGTGTGGTGGTGTGTTGCGTGTTACACATGGAGAAGGAATAAGGCAACTTGAAAACAAAGTAAGTCAAGATACAAGTTAAGGGAGGAAGGTCAGGGAAGAACAACTTCCAGATTGCAAATCAAGGAAAGTTGACACCCACCTTGAGTAGCCCCCAGTGCTTTTAGGGAAGACCCAGCTTAATAAACTCAGTAACCAGACTGACTGGGTCCCCCAGAGGACATGGCTGGTGAGATTTCAGATTTCTCTGTTGAAAGAGAGATTTCCACTTTGAACTTTGAGGCCTGTTGGTCAGACAGAAAATAGGCTCATAAGTGAGTTTGCTTAAAGAAGACATTTAACGGTTGTGCTGTTTATAGTAAAATAAAACTTCCTGCCCTGCTTCAGTTAAAAATGAAGCAGTTGCCTTTTTTGTCCATTCTCCTCCTCCCCTCAGTGGATTGTGGCAGTTGAAATAATCCATCAGAGGACCCACCTTTAGTGAGATGTGCTGTTCCTGTAGTACAACGGTGTGTCTCAGTGACCATCTGCCATGGTGAGGTGAGCGTGGTCTCTTTTCAGTATAGTAGTTAACATTTTCTAGTATTTTCTATGGAGAGAATGAGAAAAATGGCTTTTTCAGACACCATCCCAAATGGGTTTGGGGTAAGGAAGGCTGTAAAGGACATGGTAATGGCACTCCATTCAGGATGTATTAAAATAATTTGCTTTTCAGGTATTAATATGACATTTGTCATTGTCACTGATTTTTTTAAAAAAGCAATGCAAATGTTGGTTGTGGCTGTTTTCCGCATGCTATCTTCATATCTAAATGCTTCATTAATTATCTGAGCCTCTGGAGAATTAACTCTATTACGTTTGTATAGTAAGTTTGTAAACTACTTGGCAAACTGATTAAGAAATAACATGCAACACCACGCTACTACAGTGGCAGGTTTCTGGTAGACATTGGGTATGTCCGATTTGGAGTTTTGAGTTTCTTGATTGATCAGAATAAAAATGCATTTATGAAGAAAAGAAAAGAAAGAGGAAAAGTAGATCACTTAGCAAATAGTAGGTTGAAACTATGTCTGTCCTCTGTGGCCCCAAATCCAATGAAAGAAATGCTCCCAATAAAAGTTGTTTTTGAACTCCATCCTTCTTAGAGTAGCTCTTACACTTCCCAAATAAGGCTTGAGCCACCATCAGCAAACAAGAAGGTGGCCTAGAAACTGACATATAACCAATACCCAAGGAATCTGGAAGCTTAAGTAATTTCAGGTCTAGCTGTGCAAAAAAAGCATCCAGGGATAACTGTCCAGAACATAACGTATAATGAGATACAGGCCTCAGGGTCAAGGTGCCTATTAGCAAGACCACCTCCTTTTCCTCCACCACTGCAGATGTCTTCCTACCCCAATTGTAGTGAGGCATCTTACAGAGGATGTCAATAGAGGATGGCTAGGTCCTCACAATGATGGTGCGTCCTCCAAATGAAGGAATGCCATGAAGAGAGCAGGATGCCATTGCTTTAGGATTTCTACCTAAAAGTGATAACTTACGCATAACATTCCACAATCTCATTCCCCAAGAACTTAGTGCATTCTTTCCTAAAGCAAGAACTTAAGGTCCTCCCTTGATTTCTGCAACTTAACCATTTGCTCTTATGGTCAAGTTTCCCCTGTGAGTGGGAAACTTAGAGCATTTCATCTTTTACAGAAGTTATCTTTTCCCACTTTCCTCTCCTTTCTGCTGCCTTGCTTGATTTTTTTTTCTATCTCTCCTAATATTAAGCTTATCATTTGCTTACAACTCCAGCTCTGGAGTTCAGTCCATTTCTCATTGCTGCTCAATTCAGTGGCAACAGAATTGACTCTTTCCCAGGTCCAAGAAGTATAAGTTATTGAGAGTTTTCTGAATGGCCTTGCCAATACTTAGCAGCCTTGGTACTGTGAAAAGGTTTCTTAGCAACCTGGTGGCATTGAAAGTGGCTTTAAGAGACCCTTCTTTCTGTCACATAGTTCTGGGATCTCTACCAAGTGTGAAGGTGAATAAGGTGAGGGAAATCAGACCATACTTCCTGGTTTTTCACTTGCCCAAAGGAAAATTGCTGGTGTTGGTTGTTTGACACCTTCTTTCCACATTCATTCCTATTTCTAACCAGCTGAGCTAACAAGTAATTTTGTTTTTCTAATATGAGACTTGGAGGCAGTACTTTCTCATCTTTTCTTGTAGGATATCCCTGTACTCTAACAAAATGAGGTTTCCTCTCAGAGCAGCTTTCTGCTTCTTCGGTTCTATAGGCATTGTTGAATTTAAGTGGGCCAGTGATTGCACAAATATAGCAGCAAGTCTGTCCTCCAGCCACTAGAACAGATAATAAGCAATGGATTGCTGTATACTTTCCCAGAAAATGTGGGGGTACAGCCCTAGAAATCTGAGTAATGCTCCAACCAGCCAAGACCAGTTGATCTTCTTTGTATGATAACGAATCTTATTTATGAGCTGATTCTTATCTGTCTTTCCACCCTGGGCTCTCTTGCCATGAAACAAAAACCAGTACACCAAACATTTAGGAAGCATCAATCATAAATAATTGGGAGACTCCATTTCCTGTGTCCCCCAGATTAGGGATGCTAAGGGAAGCTGATCTCTCAGGCTAAATAAAAGCAGACCTCTTTGGTCTCCTTTTCCATCCTCATGTTCTTTGCCAATTAGTACAGGTAGCCTTTTGTTCACTTTGCAGAGGTCAAAGAAGAGTCTATCTGATTCTTCATTGAATCACACATTTTAACAAGAATGAGAACAAATATTTAAATCCCAGGAGAAGTGCCCTTTGTGTATTTCTAACAGAAACCAGATGCTTTTGCTTCATAATGAAGACCCATCTATGGTTAAGGAACAGTGCAAAATTGAACCAGTTATCTGAATATTTCATGCAAGAAGGTTTGCTATTAGCAATGATCTGGCACTTTCAGGGCTTTACAATGGGCTCTGCAGACAGCATTCTACAAGCTCCACTACTGATTTTGAAAGTCATTGCCAACTGCCACCTTTTAAAAGCCACCATTCTTGAAATACAAGGGAAGGGACCTTTGCCTTGTCTCCAGTGGTTTATTCCTCTGGGGCCTTGGCAGACAGCTAAGCATGTCTGTGTGACCATTCCGAAGTCGTCATCAAGGTCAAGATCAAGAATGGATTAGATTCTCTTTCCATTTTCTCATAATAGTAGTCCAGTCAGCACAAGATTCCCACACAACACTACTCACTGCGGAGAGTTACCTTGTTTTATAAGCTTACTTCCTGCTTTCCTGCTGACAGAACTAGCTTTCCTCAAGAGAATAAAAAAGAGGAGGGAGAAAAAATCACATAGTGTTAGGGAACATCTCTGTGATTTAGATGTGATAATTCATGGGATAGAAAACATTGTCTAGTTCTATCCTGAGTTTTCTGAGAAAATCCCTTCACCTGACTGGGCCTTTGGTCTTTGATGTTCAGTAGGTCACTGATCAAGCTTTTCTAAATTTTTCAGAGTTACTTACCAATAAGGTCTGTCATCAAGCCTACCTATTTGATTTCCATATTTTTCCTAAAATGTTAGGATTCTATCATAGACCCTGACTGAACATTGTAAGGTCTTCAAGTCCTCCATTTTCATTAGCAAACTAGGACTTGACAGTATTCCCTCTTCTAAACTCATTCCTTCTTACACAGGATTGCTTTGCCTATCTCCTGTTTTAATTTCACATGCATAAACACAATTTCAGAGGGCCTGAGAACATGAGGCAGGCCAGAGTCTGTGTTACTTGTCGAATGTCAAACTGTTTGTCAAGGAGGTTGCCACAGGCCTTTGGTGTGGGCTCTGCCAGAGACTGTCCCAAACACTTTGCTTGAGATCCGTGCCCTGTAAAATGGATATGATGTTTTACCAATGTCTGTAATACATTTGTAAACTTCCAATAAAATTTGAATAAAAGAAATATCGCCATTGTTCTCAGTCCTTTCTCACCTTCCAGATTTGCAGGATGGTCTTGACCTTCTGTCTGTCACCTCAACAGATAAAGCCAGCATGTGTCAGGGAATGAGACTTACTATGAGAGTTGAACCTGAGTGTTGAACCTGAGTTTGTCGATTTTGGCCAGTTAATTCTTTGTTGTAGAGAATCTTCCTGTGCAATGTAGGGTTGAAAGGTGCTTAGCATCACTGTCCTCTACTCACTAGATGCAACAGCAGCCCCTCCCACCTCCCTAGTCACAAATACAAGTACTTCACCTATCACACCCATTAGGACGCTACTGTTCAAAAAAGCAAACAATCAGAAAACAAAATAACAAATGTTGGTGAAGATGTGGAGAAGTTGGAATATTATGCACTGTTGGTGGGAACATAAAATGATGCAGGGCTGAGAAAAATGGATAGTAGTTTCTCAAAAAATTAAAAATAGGATTACAATATCCAGCAATTCTCCTGGGTATACACCAAAAGAACTGAAAGCAAAGTCTCACAGAGATATTTATCAACCATGTTAACAGCGGCATTATTTACAATAGCCACAAGGTGGAAGCTACTAATGGATGGATGGATGACCAAGATGTGGTATGCACATACAGTGGAATAATGTCCAGCCTACAAAAGGAAGGAACTTGTGCCATGCTGCAAAACGGATGAACTTGAGAACAATAAGGTAAGTGAGATAAGTCCGCCACCAAAAGACAAAGACTGTATGATTCCACTTAAATGAGGCATCTAGAGTCAAGACATAGAGTTCAAAAGTAGAAGGGTGGTTATCACAGGCTGAAGGAGAGAGAATTGGAGATTTACTGTTTAATGAACATAGAGTTTCCATTTTTCAAGATAAAAAAGAATTTGCTACTGAACTGTATGCTTTAAAATAGTTAAGATGGTAAATTTTTACATTTTTATTTTACCGCAATTTAAAAAAATGTCTCCACACATTACCAGATGTCCCCTGAGGGCAAAGATGCCTGGGGTTGAGAGCCACTGGTTTAAATGCAGCCTTTCTCAGCATCCTGGCTTCTTGGGGATTTTTTTTTTTTTTGACAGTACTGGGGTTCCAATTCTGGGCTTCACACTTGTTAGGTAGGTGTTCTACCACTTGAGTCATACCTCCAGCACTTTTTGCTCTGTTATTTTGGAAATAGTCTCTCACTTTTTGCCCAGGTTGGCCTGAACTGAGATCCTCCTATTTTAAGCTTCTTAACGTAGCTGGGATGATAGGCACACAATGGCATGCCCAGCTTTTTTTTCTGTTGTTGGGGTCTCTTCAACTTTTTTTTGGGGGGGGGCTCCTGGTACCCAGCTCCCTTGGGGATTCTTAAAACTGATTCCTGTTCAGGCCACACAGTAAACTCTCAGTTCTTAGCAGGAACTGAAACCAAGTGACCCCAAAACATT